TCTGCTCAATGGGCTCACTACAAACATCAGATCCGGTCTTGAGGCCGTCAAATCCATCAAACTTCCTACAATTTGTTTGTAGTAGGTTTCATTCACCAATTCTCCTCCATTTTGCTCAACTTGCAGCCTGGAACTATTGGACTCTTCACTTCTTTGCTTTCCTCCATCCCAAGCCTCTTAAGCACCTCCATTACATACTACCTTTGACACATAAAAATGCCATCATCTCTTTGCAAAACTTCTAGACCAAGAAAGAGCCTCATCTTCCCTAAGTCCGTCATTTCGAACTCCTCCATCATAGAGGTTTTGAATTCTCCCAACATCACATCATCATTGCTAGTATAGATAAGATCATTAATATAAACACTTAGTAGCAAGATTTTACCTCCACTGTCAATTTCAGAGAAAAGAGTCTGCTCACTGCTACATTTCTGAAATCCTTCTTTGTTGAATTAAGCTTCAATTCGACTAAACGAAGCACGAGGTGCTTGCTTTAATCCATGCAGCGCTTTCTGTAGCTTGTAAACTTTATCCTCTTCTCCTTTCTTCTCATACCCCAAAGGTTGCTCGACATAGACATCTTCAATTAATTCACCATTCAAGAATGCTGATTTGATGTCGAGTTGCACAATCCAGCCTCAAGAGCAAGCATCACTCTAATTGTATCCATTCGATCCACCGGAGCATAAACTTCTGTAAAATCCACTCCTTGCCTCTGCGAGTAGCCTTTTGCTACCAACCGAGCATTGTACTTGTCAATCTCCCCTGCCTCATTGTATTTAGTTTTGAAAATCCATTTTACTCATATCCTTTTAGCTCCTGGAGGCAGCTTAACCAGTTTCCATGTGTTGTTCTTCTCAATGGACTCGATCTCTGCATCCATGATCTTTCTCCACTTCTCACTTCCTACTGCATCCTCAAAGTTTGTAGGATCATCAGACATCACAAGTGCCATATTAGCTTGCAACTCAAAGTCTGAAATTCCCAAACCAGAAAGTCCAGAACCTGGTGTATAATCACTCATCTAAGCTGGTGGTCCTCTTTCTCTTGCCTCCCTTGCTTCTGGTGTCTCATAACCCATAGACGAATTATCTACATTTTCTTCTTCCTCACTTGAGTTCAAAGTACCTCCTCCTGAATTTCCAACTTCTTGATCTTCGAACTCATCATCATCGTCAGATGCTTCATCTTCTATCTCGTCGGTGACACCTTGATCTTCTCCACACTCCAGCTCCATTGACACTTGCTGCTCATAGCTTGTATCGTCGTCCCACTCTCTTTTTTCTTCGAACACTACATCTCTGCTAATGACTATCTTTTTGGTGATAGGATTGTAGATTTTGTTGGTCTTTGACTCTTCACTCACTCCAAGTAGGACGCAGAGTACACTTCTATCCTCCAATTTGGTTCTTCTAGCCTCTGGAACATGGATGAAAGCAATACACCCGAAGACTCTAAAGAATTCCACAGAAGGTTTCTCTCCGCTCCAAGCCTCCTGAGGTGTCATGTCTTTCACTACACTTGTTAGACATATGTTTAACACAAACGTCGTCCAATTGACTGCTTATGGCCAAAAGGTCTTCAGCATCTTCTTTTCGGAAAGCATTGATCTCACCATGTTTAGAATTGTTCTACTCCTCCTCTCCGCAACTCCATTCTGTTGTGGTGAATATAATCCTGTCAACTGCCTCTTGATTCCATTTTCCTTGCAAAATTCATTGAACTCATTTGAATTGAACTCTCCACATCTGTTAGTCCGAAAGCACTTGATTGATAGACCTGTTTCTTTTTCAACATTTCTTTTTGAAAGCTAGAAAGGAGCTAAATGTACCTTTTACTACTGTTTGATTCTGGTGTGATCGGTCCGTAGAGATCAGCATGAACTAGTTCCAACCTCTGTTTTGCCCTCTAAGTGCTCTTCTTTGGAAAGGAATTTCTATTCTTCTTTACAAGGAGATAATCTGTACATTCCTTCTTTTCAACATCAAACTTTGGCAACCCATGAGCAATGTTCTTACTATGTAAGGTCTTCAGATCCTTGTAGCTCAAGTGACCGTACCTGCAATGCCAGAGTTGTGGCAGGTCAAGTGTTGAGGTGAGAAAGCAGCTGGTGGGAGTTGCAACTGCTCCGGCCATAATAACAAACATCCTATTTGCAGTCATCGTTGTTTCAATGATCAATCCTCTCCTTGGATGGTAAATTCTGCACTTCCCTTCATGCATCAGAATAGCTAGACCCTTCTCTTGCCATTGACCAACACTCAATAGGTTGTTCTTGAGCTCTGGTACATAATAAACTTTTGTGACTACATGCTTCACTCCATTGATACTCAATTATAATAAACTTTTGTGACTACATGCTTCACTCCATTGATACTCAATTACACGCTGCGTTTTCCTTCTACATTCATCTTGGTGTTGTTCCCGAGCTTCACCAAGTGTCTAAACTCGCCGTCAGTCTGAAAACATCTTCTTATCCCCACACATATGATTAGAACAACCTGAGTCTACAAACAAGCTTTTGCTCTACTTACTCCATTTGCCTCTGCTTGTGCCATCAATGCCAACTCTTTTTCATAACTGAGTTCCACCGCTGAGCCTCTTGCAAAGTTTTCGGTGACTTCAACATGAGACATAAGCAACAAAGTCTCACCTCCATCTATGTTTGCATAGTTTGCTTCTTTCTCCGTTTCTGGACACTTATATTGGAAGTGCCCAAGCTTGTGACATCGAAAGCATTCAATTGTTGCACGATTGAATGTTTGTCGGCCTCTTCCTCTACCTCTTCCATGAAAACCTCCTCGATTTCCTCGTCCTCTCCCACCTTCATATGAGACTTTCAGAGCTTGCTCCTCATCAGTACTCCTTCTCTTCTGAAACTTTTGTTCATGAACTAGCAGAGAGCTCCGAAGTTGATTCACCGAAAGACTTTTGATATCTTTCGATTCCTCAAGTGAACATACAACAAAATTCCAGCTCTCAGGAAGTGTACGCAGAATCTTCTCTACAATCTTAGCATCCTCCAAGCCTTCTCCTGGATTGCTCATATTATTGCAGACTAACACTACTCTTGAAAAATAATCAGTAATTGACTTACCAATTTTCATCTCAAGTACCTCAAAATCTCTTCGAAGTGTCTGCAGCTGTGCATTGCGCACGTTCTCATCTCCTTGGAACCTTGTCTTCATTGACTCCCGTAGCTGCTTAGCTGTGTCCTTTTGGGTGATAGTCTTCAAGGTCATCTTGTCAATGGCTTGGAAAAGGTAATTATTTACCTTTAAATCCTTCAGCTTCAAGTCTACTAGCTCTACTTTCTGGGCACCATTCAGGATCTCGCCTCTCGCTGGTTCGGTATAACCTGTCTCCACCAAATCCCACCACTCCTTTGATCGTATCAAATTCTCCATGAGCATCGCCCAATACTCATAGTCTCCATCAAACTTAGGAATGCTCAGGTAGGCATCCTCCTCTGTTTCCATCTCTACACTCTAATTTCTCACTCTTCACTCGTGCTTGCTCTTCTTTGTTCCTCACTTTCTCTCCTATTTGCACTCCCACACACACTCACAATCAGGCCCCTAGTGAGCTCTGATACCAATTGTTAAGAATTGGTATCAAGCTAGGTATCTGAGAAACAAAGATTGATTGAATACTACAATACTTTATTGAATGCAAACATCTGGCTTTATAGCCTTACAACCTAACAGAAAGAGAAATTGCAGCCCACTAACATAGTAGTAAAACTACAGAAATTGAAAATTTCAAAGCTAACAACTACATCCTAACTTGTAGGATCATTATTTGACAGAGACTCTAGATAACCAAGATTCCCTACTTTCAAGCAACAAACAACAACCACCATGACTAAGTCTTCCAACAATCCCTCCCTTAAGCTAGTGCGTTCAAGCACTCAGCTTATACTATTCAATTCACAAACTCCTAACACCTTTCTGAGTTTCTCAAAAGCCTCCAGTTTCAAAGATTTTGTGAACATATCTGGCAGCTGCTCACTAGTATCACAATGAACTAATTTAACAACACCATCATGAGTTAAATTTCTAAGAAAATTAAACCTAACTGCAATATGCTTGCTGCGTCCATGAAATACTGGATTCTTGGAGAGCTTTATGGTTGAACTATTATCACACCAAATCACAATGCTTTCATCTTGTTTGCTTCCTATCTCCTCTAGAACTTGTTTCAGCCAAATGGCTTGCTGAGCACAACCTGTCGCAGCAACATACTCTGCCTCTGTTGTTGATAGTGTGACTATAGGTTGCTTCTTCGACGCCCAAGATACTGCACTTCCCCCAATTAAGAAAAAGTCTCCGGCGTAATCACTATCCGTAAATGCAACAAGTTCTTCATATTCCTGTTTCTTATAGAAAATACCATAACTTGTACCTTTAAGCTATCGCATCACCCTCTTGGCAGCTTGGAAATGCATTTCTGTTGGCTGGGACATGAATCTACTTTTAAGCTATCGCATCACCCTCTTGGCAGCTTGGAAATGCATTTCTGTTGGCTGGGACATGAATCTACTCAGTAAGCTCACTACAAACATCAGATCCGGTCTTGAGGCCGTCAAATACATCAAACTTCCTACAATTTGTTTGTAGTAGGTTTCATTCACCGACTCTCCGTTTTTGCTCAACTTGCAGCCTGGAACTATTGGACTCTTCACTTCTTTGGTTTCCTCCATCCCAAGCCTCCTAAGCACCTCCATTACATACTCCATTTGACACATAAACATACCATCATCTCTTTGCAAAACTTCTAGACCAAGAAAGAACCTCATCTTCCCTAAGTCTGTCATTTCGAACTCCATCTTAGAGGTTTTGAATTCTCCCAACATCACATCATCATTGCTAGTATAGATAAGATCATCAATATAAATTCTTACTAGCAAGATTTTACCTTCACTGTCAATTTTGGAGAAAAGAGTCTGCTTACTGCTACATTTCTGAAATCCTTCTTTCTTTAAGTAGGCATCAATTCGACTAAACCAAGCACGAGGTGCTTGCTTTAATCCATACAGCGCTTTTTGTAGCTTGTAAACTTTATCCTCTTCTCATACCCCAAAGGTTGCTCGACACAGACATCTTCAATTAATTCACCATGCAGAAATGCTGATTTGACGTCGGGTTGATACATAATCCAGCCTCTCTGTGCATCACTCTAATTGTATTCATTCAAGCCACTGGAGCATAAACTTCTGTAAAATCCACTCCTTGCCTCTGTGAGTAGCCTTTTGCTACCAACCGAGCCTTGTACTTGTCAATCTCCCCTGCCTCATTGTATTTAGTTTTGAAAATCCATTTTACTCATATTCTTTTAGCTCCTAGAGGCAGCTTAACCAGTTTCCATGTGTTCTTCTCAATGGACTCAATTTCTGCATCCATGGCCTTTCTCCACTTCTCACTTCCTACTGCATCCTCGAAGTTTGTAGGATCATCAGACATCACAAGTGCCATATTAGCTTGCAACGCCAAGTCTGAAATTCCCGAACTAGAAAGTCCAGAACCTGGTGTATAATCACTCATCCAAGCTGGTGGTCCTCTTTCTCTTGCCTCCCTTGCTTCTGGTGTCTCATAACCCATAGTCGAATTATCTACATTTTCTTCTTCCTCACTTGAGTTCAAAGTACCTCCTCCTGAATTTCCAGCTTCTTGATCTTCGAACTCATCATCACCGTCTGATGCTTTATCTTCTATCTCGTCGGCGATACTTTGATCTTCTCCCCACTCCAACTCCATTGACACTTGCTGCTCATAGCTTGTATCGCAGTCTCACTCTCTTTTTTCTTCGAACACTATATCTCTGCTAATAACTATCTTTTTGGTGATAGGATTGTAGAATCTGTAGGCCTTTGACACTTCACTCACTCTAAGTAGGACGCAGAGTGCACTTCTATCCTCCAATTTGGAACATGGATGAAAGCAATACACCCGAAGACTCTAAAGAATTCCACAAAATGTTTCTCCGCTCCAAGCCTCCTGAGGTGTCATGTCTTTCACTACACTTGTAGGACATTTGTTTAACACAAACGTCGTCCAATTGACTGCTTCTGGCCAAATGATCGTACCTGCAAGTCAAGTGTTGAGGTGAGAAAGCAGCTGGTGGGAGTTGCAACTGCTCCGACCATAATAACAAGCATCCTATTTGCAGTCATCGTTGTTTCAATGATCATTGCCAACTCTTCTTCATACCTGAGTTCCACCGTTGAGCCTCTTGCAAAGTTTTCGGTGACTTCAACATGAGACATAAGCAGCAAAGTCTCACCTCAATCTATGTTGGCATAGTTTGCTTCTTTCTCTGTTCCTGGACACTCATATTGAACTCCATCATAGAGGTTTTGAATTCTCCCAACATCACAACATCATTGCTAGTATAGATAAGATCATCAAAATAAACACTTACTCGCGAGATTTTTCCTCCACTGCCAATTTTAGAGAAAATGGTCTACTCACTGCTACATTTCTTAAATCCTTCTTTGTTGAAGTGGGCATCAATTCGACTAAACCAAGCACGAGGTGCTTGCTTTAATCCATATAGCGCTTTGTGTAGCTTATAACTTTTATCCTCTTCTCCTTTCTTCTCATACCCCAAAAGTTGCTCGACATAAACATCTTCAATTAATTCACCATGCAAGAATGCTGATTTGACGTCGAGTTGATACACAATCCAGCCTCTCTGTGCAACAAGAGCAAGCATCACTCTAATTGTATCCATTCGAGCCATCGGAGCATAAACTTCTGTAAAATCCACTCCTTGCCTCTGCGAGTAGCCTTTTGCTACCAACCGAGCCTTGTACTTGTCAATATCCCCTGCCTCATTGTATTTAGTTTTGAAAATCCATTTTACTCCTATCCTTTTAGCTCATGGAGGCAGCTTAACCAGTTTCCATGTGTTGTTCTTCTCAATGGACTCAATTTCTGCATCCGTGGCCTTTCTCCACTTCTCACTTCCTACTGCATCCTCGAAGTTTGCGGGATCACGCCATATTAGCTTGCAACTCCAAGTCTGAAATTTCCGAACCAGAAAGTCCAGAAACTGGTGTATAATCACTCATCCAAGCTGGTGGTCCTCTTTCTCTTACCTCCCTTGCTTCTGGTGTCTCATAACCCATAGACGAATTATCTACATTTTCTTCTTCCTCACTTGAGTTCAAAGTACCTCCTCCTGAATTTCCAGCTTCTTGATCTTCGAACTCATCATCACCGTCAAATGCTTTATCTTCTATCTCATCGGCGACACCTTGATCTTCTCCCTACTTCAACTCCATTGACACTTGCTGCTCATAGCTTGTATCGCAGTCCCACTCTCTTTTTTCTTCGAACACTATATCTCTGCTAATCACTATCTTTTTGGTGATAGGATTGTAGAATCTGTAGGCCTTTGACTCTTCACTCACTCTAAGTAGGACGCAGAGTGCACTTCTATCCTCCAATTTGGCTCTTCTTGCCTTTGGAACATGGATGAAAGCAATACACCCGAAGACTCTAAAGAATTCCACAAAATGTTTCTCCGCTCCAAGCCTCCTGAGGTGTCATGTCTTTCACTACACTTGTAGGACATCTGTTTAACACAAACGTCGTCCAATTGACTGCTTCTGGCCAAATTATCGTACCTGCAATGCCAGAGTTGTTGCAGGTCAAGTGTTGAGGTGAGAAAGCAGCTGGTGGGAGTTGCAACTGCTCCGACCATAATAACAAGCATCCTATTTGCAGTCATCGTTGTTTCAATGATCAATGCCAACTCTTCTTCATACCTGAGTTCCACCGTTGAGCCTCTTGCAAAGTTTTCGGTGACTTCAACATGAGACATAAGCAGCAAAGTCTCACCTCAATCTATGTTGGCATAGTTTGCTTCTTTCTCTGTTCCTGGACACTCATATTGAATTCCATCATAGAGGTTTTGAATTCTCCCAACATCACATCATCATTGCTAGTATAGATAAGATCTTTAATATAAACACTTACTCGTAAGATTTTTCCTCCACTGCCAATTTTAGAGAAAATGGTCTACTCACTGCTACATTTCAAAAATCCTTCTTTGTTGAAGTGGGCATCAATTCGACTAAACCAAGCACGAGGTGCTTGCTTTAATCCGTATAGCGCTTTCTGTAGCTTGTAAATTTTATCCTTTTCTCCTTTCTTCTCATACCCCAAAGGTTGCTCGACATAGACATCTTCAACTAATTCACCATGCAAGAATGCTGGTTTTACGTCAAGTTGATACACAATCCAGCCTCTCTGTGCAACAAGAGCAAGCATCTCTCTAATTGTATCCATTCGAGCTATCAGAGCATAAACTTCTGTAAAATCCACTCCTTGCCTCTGCGTAGCCTTTTGCTACCAACCGAGCCTTGTACTTGTCAATATCCCCTGCCTCATTGTATTTAGTTTTGAAAATCCATTTTTCTCCTATCCTTTTAGCTCGTACAGGCAGCTTAACTAGTTTTCATGTGTTGTTCTTCTCAATGGACTCAATTTCTGCATCCATGGCCTTTCTCCACTTCTCACTTCCTACTACATCCTCGAAGTTTGCGGGATCATCAGACATCACAAGTGCCATATTAGCTTGCAACTCCAAATCTGAAATTCCCGAACCAGAAAGTCCAGAACCTGGTGTATAATCATTCATTCAAGCTGGTGGTCCTCTTTCTCTTGCCTCCCTTGCTTCTGGTGTCTCATAACCCATAGACGAATTATCTACATTTTTTTCTTCCTCACTTGAGTTCAAAGTACCTTCTCCTGAATTTCCAACTTCTTGATCTTCGAACTCATCATCACCGTCAGATGCTTCATCTTCTATCTCGTCGGGACACCTTGATCTTCTCCCCACTCCAGCTCCATTGACACTTACTGCTCATAGCTTGTATCCTAGTCCCACTCTCTTTTTTCTTCGAACACTGCATCTCTGCTAATCGCTATCTTTTTGGTGATAGGATTATAGAATCTGTAGACCTTTGACTCTTCACTCACTCTAAGTAGGACGTAGAGTACACTTCTATCCTCCAATTTGGCTCTTCTTGCCTCTGGAACATGGATGAAAGTAATACACCCGAAGACTCTAAAGAATTCCACAAAATGTTTCTTTCCGCTCCAAGCCTCCTGAGGTGTCATGTCTTTCACTGCACTTGTAGGACATCTGTTTAACATAAACGTCGTCCAATTGATTGCTTCTGGCCAAAAGGTCTTCGGCATCTTCTTTTCTGAAAGCATCGATCTCACCATGTTTAGAATTGTTCTATTCTTCATCTCCGCAACTCCATTCTGTTGTGGTGAATATGCTGCTGTCAACTGCCTCTTGATCTATTTTCCTTGCAAAATTCATTGAACTCATTTGGATTGAACTCTCCACCTCTGTCAGTCCGAAAGTACTTGATTGATAGACCTGTTTCTTTTTCAACATTTCTTTTGAAAGCTACAAAGGAGCTAAATGTATCTGCTTTGTTTGTTAAATAAAAAGTCCATGCTCTTCGACTAAAGTCGTCAATGAAGTGGTCGGCAGAGATCTGCATGAACTAGCTCCAACTTCTGTTTTGCCCTCCATGTGCTCTTCTTTGGAAAGCAATTTCTATGCTGCTTTCCAATGAGACAATCTGTACAGTCCTTCTTTGCTACATCAAACTTTGGCAACCCATGAACCATGTTCTTACTATGTAAGGTCTTCAGACCCTTGTAGCTAAAGTGACCGTACTTGCAATGCCAGAGTCGCGGCAGGTCAAGTGTTTAGGTGGGAAAGCAGCTGGTGGGAGTTGCAACTGCTCCGGCTATAATAACAAGCATCCTATTTGCAGTCATCGTTGTTTCAATGATCAATCCTCTCCTTGGATGGTAAATTCTGCACTTCCCTTCATGCATCAGAATAGCTAGACCCTTCTCTTGCCATTGACCCACACTCAATAGGTTGTTCTTGAGCTCTGGTACATAATAAACTTTTGTGACTACAAGCTTCACTCCATTGATACTCAATTACACGCTGCGTTTTCGTTCTACATTCATCTTGGTGTTGTTCCCGAGCTTCACCAAGTGTCTAAACTCGCCGTCAAAGTCTGAAAACATCTTCTTATTCCCACACATATGGTTAGAACAACATGAGTCTACGAACCAAGCTTTTGTTCTGCTTACTCCATTTGCCTCTGCTTGTGCCGTCAATGCCAACTCTTCTTCATACCTGAGTTCCACCGTTGAGCCTCTTGCAAAGTTTTCGATGACTTCAACATGAGACATAAGCAGCAAAGTCTCACCTCAATCTATGTTGGCATAGTTTGCTTCTTTCTCTGTTCCTGGACACTCATATTGAACTCCATCATAGAGGTTTTGAATTCTCCCAACATCACATCATCATTGCTAGTATTGATAAGATCATCAATATAAACACTTACTCGCAAGATTTTTCCTCCACTGCCAATTTTAGAGAAAATGGTCTACTCACTGCTATATTTCTGAAATCCTTCTTTGTTGAAGTGGGCATCAATTCGACTAAACCAAGCACGAGGTGCTTGCTTTAATCCATATAGTGCTTTCTGTAGCTTGTAATTTTTATCCTCTTCTCCTTTCTTCTCATACCCCAATGGTTGCTCGACATACACATCTTCAATTAATTCACTATGCAAGGATGCTGATTTGACGCTGAGTTGATACACAATCCAGCCTCTCTGTGCAACAAGAGCAGCATCACTCTAAT